ATACTCACTACTCACTCACTCACTACTGCAGTCAAAGTCAAAGTCAAAGTCACATAGCGACTGACGGCATGTCAGTCAGTAAGTCTTGGTGTCGAGCACCCTCCTGGGGCTCATGACCAGATATTTATTACTCTTTGACAGTTACGGTCTTATTTCTGTGGGGCGCCCTCTCTGACGAGAGGACGGGTCTGTCCTTTGTATATGCTGCTGGCCCTTGCCAGTGCGATTTTTCTCGGGTCCGAGTGCCTTGGGACTCGCTACCATATTTTACTGTCTCAGATTTGAGACTTCCCTTTTCGTCGCCTCCTACGACTCGCAGGGTGACGGTGGAGGTATTCGACCCCGCCTCCACACGGGGGCACTACTGAATAGTGTTCGCTGCTCCTTATATAGGTTCGGCACGGACAACACAGAAAACAGTTACGTGATAGGTACCACTGTTGCGTAACGTCGTGTTTACCGATTGCCTAGTAACAGTCGTTGCACGGGCTCCCCTGTTGCGTGACGCCGTGTTCACAAAGGCGTTGCTGGGCAACGCTGCCGAGAGTTGTTTATTGCTGCATAGCAACCAGCGCGCTTCGGCTTGGCTCGGCTCGGAGAACTACCGCTTTTCTTACTGCGGCGTAACTTGGCAACCGACCGTTTATCAAGGGTCTGTCTTCGTGGTAAATCGTTCCACCTCCCGTTGCCCAGCAACGGTTAGACATGTCACAATATTATGGCTACTGAGCGTACTTAATAAATCTTCCCAGCCAGTCTTTGTCCGTATATGCATCCCTCTTTTCGTTGCTTGGCAAGGTCTCGGCAAAGTGTATCTCTCCTTTCGTTGCTTATACAACGATCGGTAACCACGTTTCCGCTGCAACGAATAAATCCGTAAAGTAGTGACTTTGACTTTGTCAGTAGTTACAAGTACGAACAGGCAAATAATATGAATATGTTGAATAAGTGTGGCAGATGAACCACCTAAGATGTTTCTCGAAGTACAGCAAAGAACCTGTTGTGCCAAATTTTCTCTCAGCTTATGAAGCATTAAAGCGCACCTTAAATTGTGGTAAGTACTAGTAAAACGCTGTGTGAAAGTTACGCACTTATGCTGGCAGAGACTATATATAGCAGTTAGGTTAATCGTCACACAACAACATCGAACCAATGCACAGTTAGAACACATCGAACATATAGACGCTCAGATAAAAACACATACGTCACATTTTATGATCATACAATGGTACATATCGGAAATATGCACACCCAATACATAACACATTAACAACCTGTACATCATAGAAATTTGTCTCTGGGCTCCATGATCGGTCTTACTACGTAGAAAGCTTCTAACAACAAAGATCTACAAATGACATAAAAAGTAAAGTGAAACTATCCCTGTAACAGCCCGTGAAGGCCCATAGGGTTGTGAGACGTCGACGGTCCTACATTATCTAGACAATGGACTCAAAGATGGCGGTAAGGTTGTCAGCCTTACGCGCCGTCCGCGCTTTACTCCCCAGGAAAATTATTTAATTAATTCCTGGTACTCATTTCTGTTAGAGGCTGTGTCGACCCCAGGGCCATAGTGCAGCTGGAAGGATTAGGTCAATTGAAAAATCCAATGACTTCATCGGGACTTGAACCCGCGACCTTCCGGCTTGTAGCAGCCAACTACGCTACCACGTGCCCCCCTGCATAACATGCCTAATTCTACACTCTAGCATTGGAACCTAGAATCTTGGTACATGACATATTTAATTTTTTATATATTTATCTTTTATCTTATTTTTAGTGTAATATTTACCAACTTGAGGCAAATTTTCTGTTATTATATAATATGATATGTTGCACTGGTATGGTCCACATCGGCAGTCCACTAACTAACATATTCCTATATTAACTGCCTGATGATGGTCTTGTGCGACCGAAACATGTAGCAGGAATAAAAAGAATTAAAACCAAGAATATTTGTTGTGCGACGGTTAACGTAACTCCTATATATGTCTGAAACACAGCAGGATGCAAAAAATAAAGAGAACACAGAATATGTGCAATTGGACATTTTAACTTGAAGTCACCAATAGAGCACCAAATATTCAAACTGTAGGGTACTGTCACTTTGAAAGTGGTACAACATCATTAAATAGTGACGTGCGTTTGAATTCCCGGTATTATAGGTTTACACGGGAATTTATGAGTCGGTCGGTTAAGTTGCTTCTGGTCTTCGCCAGCATAAAGAACTATTCGCCTAGTTTCCTTTGATACGACTCGGGTAGTATAGAAAACGACGCCTCCAACAATTCTTCGTCGCAGGGGGAACGTCTTTACCGAGTTATCTAACAGCGATCGGGGGATACATTAATAGACCGACAGATACACGCGTCCAACAATTCTTCTGTTGTTGCGTGTATTCACTGCCGCGAGAAAGGGGTTTACCTTGCTGTTGGCTAGCAATGAAAGGAGGGATGCACTTTATCGAGCCTTTGCCAAGCAACGATACGGGGGTATACACAGACTAAAAAAAAACTGGTTCAGCAATTCAAAAGTTAAATGGGGGGGGGGATTCGCAGACAATATGCAAATCGCATAAGCATACTTTTATTTCTTTAAATATGGAAAGTATGTTAAGAAGAAGGATTTTATATTAGAATTGTGCAAAATAAATGGCAGGAGGAATTCTCGCAGTCGGTTAAAAGCGGCCTTCGTTTGAGTTGCTACTGAACAGAATTAGAGTTCAGCTGAATTTATGTCGGTATCAGAAAGGTATCCCTTCCCAAGATCGAGTACCAGTTTCGATTGGAGTGCAGTTATTTCTTTTATTTTTAAACAGTATTTAACTTACCAGTTATATTAAGTTTTGAAATATGATTTTTCTGTAGGAAGCAGAGCAAAATATTTTGTCAAGTTAAGAGGCAAATTCTCGTGCCATATTAACTGTTCGGTCCAACGATGGTGTGAAAGAACAGGTCTTTCCATCAAACCCAACAAGACGGTAATTATACCGTTTACTAGGAAGAGAAATATAAAGGGTCTTAAGGAACCGACCCTCTTCAATAAGACAATCCAGCTCTCCAGCGATGTCAGGTACCTTGGACTAGTATTAGACAAGGGACTGACATGGAAAAAGCAGCTGCACAAAGTTATTAACAAAGCCTATAAGGCTTTTTGGACATGCAGAAGCATGTTTGGTAATACTTGGGGACTACAGCCACACGTTGTACACTGGGTATACACTGCGGTTGTGAGACCCATAATTACTTATGGTGTCACAGTATGGTGGCCCAGAGTTAACTTCAAGACTAGCAAGACAGAACTTGGCAAATTGCAAAGGTTGGCTTGCTTAGGTATAACAGGAGCATTTCGAACATCTCCAACAGCTGCACTGGAGATACTTCTTGGACTCCCCCCACTGCATATACAGTTGGATGCGGAGGCCAAGGCAGGAATTTACCGTCTCCAATGCAGTGGACAATGGAAACCTAGATCTGATGGTTTCGGTCATGCTGACATGACTCAGGACATGAAAAAAGAACCCATATTACAAATGGGGTCTGACAACATGATACTGAGACATGTATATGAAAAACCCTTCACGGTCAGATTTCCTGACAGGAGTGAATGGGAAAATGGGTTTCAGCCCGACAGAAAAGGGGGACTGATCTGGTATACAGATGGTTCCAAGACAAATAAGGGCACTGGAGCTGGTGTGTACTGCCATGGCACGAGGCGGAAACTTAGTTTCCGCCTTGGGCGGTACACGACAGTATTCCAGGCAGAAGTATATGCCATTAAAGCATGTATTATGGAGAATTTAGATAGGAACTATAGAAATAGGAACATCTACATTCTATCTGACAGCCAAGCTGCACTTAAAGCGCTTGACAAACACCAGATTAATTCAAAATTGGTCTGGGATTGCCACCAAACCCTCATGGAACTGGCCAAACATAACAGGGTACAACTGATATGGGTGCTGGGGCATGAGGGTATTGCTGGAAATGAAGCTGCAGACCAATTAGCTAAAATTGGAGCTGAACACCCATTCATAGGACCTGAACCAGCCTGTGGCATGTCTCTAGGAGTTGCCAAACAGGCAATCAGGGACTGGAATAACATGAAACACAAGGAATACTGGGAATCCTTAACTGGACTCAGGCAAGCAAAGGGACTCATACGAGGACCTTCTGCTAAAAGAGCGAAGGAACTGTTGAAGCTCAACAGGAACCAGCTACAATGGGTGGTAGGACTACTTACAGGACACTGTCACCTCAAAGGACACCTGTTCAAACTGGGAGTGAGTGATAGTCCCACCTGTGAGAGGTGTCAGATAAAAGATGAAACAGCCACACATGTCCTGTGTGAATGTGAGGCATTAGCTTATTTAAGATTATGTCACTTGGGCCAGTACTTCATGGAACCAAGTGACTATTTTGACGCCCCCATGTCCAAGATCCTGCGCTTAATCCGAAGTGTGGGGTTGCTGAGGGAATAATTAAAAATGGGGAAGCACAATAGACCTAAGGTCGCAGTGCAAGGGCCGAGAAGGCCTACCCCTCATGTTCTATTCTATTCTATATAAAGCAAATAACAACAAAAAAGGCATGTACATCGAATTTTACTATTTTTAACACAGTCTGCAGAATCTGCAATAAAAGTACTGGCTTGTGGATGAGTTTGGGCATAACTCGTACATATATTATTTTGCTGTATTTCACTTAGGTATCATTTTGATTCCTCTATTATGGTTTTACTCAAGTCTATCTGGTAATTACTACATTTAACAATAAATATTTAGGACTGTGCATGCGCTTCTACTAGCAGCGTGTGCGTGCGCTTCCACTAGTGGAGTTTAAATGCCTGCCTGGCCAAAATGGGGTACTTTGGCCACGACAACCATACTCATCACTGGCCCGATCGGGGCTCTTCGGACGTTAAAGGTTAATTTGTTTACCTTTATGTCAACTAATAATAATGACTTCAGTCAGGAACATATAAAATCAAAACAATGTAACTTTGACTCTTTTAACGATTAACTTTATTTCTCTATTTCACCTTAGTCCACAGATATTTCACTCTTCAACAATTAACAGTTAACTATTTACTTATCTATTATCGACATGCTGCACTTCTACCAAATATCAGAAATGACTGAATATATCAACTAGTTTTCTTGAGCTTCTTCAGTTTGTAAACAAGGCACTGTTGGTTAGCATACTTGTCCAATAACACAGAGCTGAACTGAACATATTAGTGTACTTTAATTAAAGGTACCCATCCTCTTGAGTGATTTAAAACAGGGGAAACAACTTCTCTTACACTTGAGACATGGTACAAGCCTATCGGACCACAATTACAATAACTTTATCCACTGCCTGAGGTCTCTTTAATATACACATTTCTTACCTCTATCCCTATCCTCATTGTCAGTACACTGACAGATTAGGACCATTCTTGTGGTCTATTAGCTAGCATAGCTCAGTCAGTATAGTGACAGGCTATGGGTTGGATGACCAGGATTTGATTCCTGGCAGGGGCAAGAGTTCTCTTTTCTCTATAGGGTCTAGACTGGCTCTGGGACCCACCCAGCCTCCTATCCAACAGATGCCAGGGGTACAGATTTTGCTCTTCCCCACAGCAACCAGACTGCCTCTGGGCCCACACAGCCTCCTATCCTATGGGTACTTAGGGCAAGTTCTCAGGGATAAAGTGGCTGGGGCATGAAGTTGATCACTTAGCTCCATCTAGTGCCAAGCTCAAGAATGGTGGGGTTATAACTCCATGCACCCAAGTGTCTTCATGATGTTTTCTTTAATTAATAAGTATAGGGGCAACATTACTATTAATTATCTGCAGAAATAAAATATCTACTCTTTTAATATGCTTAAATCTCTCTCAATATAAGTGTCAGAATTGATTCCAGTCTCTGACACTAATATCTGTAGGATAAAAACATCTGTCTACATACTGGCAACAAGTCGCCTTCAAGAAGGAAGTTTTGATAGCTCCTGAAAATGTTATGTACATGAAATATCCCATACAAGGGACAGTTACGTATTGCCATAAAACTCGAGAGGTACATGACTAGAGTACAAAGGAGGCATACACACAGAATAGGAACACTGAAGTTGCAAATTTTCTTTTCCACAGGCACTTGAGTTTCATTTCACCAACTTGCATAAATAGCTTAACAATATAAAACCAACATAAAGTTCTTTTGTTCAGAATTCAATGTCTGATGGCAGAGTCCCTTCTGCCCTCGCTTTCTCAACATTCTGGAAGAAATCTGAAAAATCAACATATGCCTCTATCCTCCTGTTCCTATCCAGAGGATTGGGTCTGTCCGGAAAGATATCTGATGAACTTTCTGTTGTTGATGTATCATTATTTTGATCATCTGTTGTGTTACTGGTAGCAGGATCAGTCAAAGAGTTCTCTATCGTAGAGTTATCATCACCTGCACTCCATGATGGAGTTGAAACGGTCATCACAATAGGATTAAAACGGACAACTGCATTTGTCGGGGAATTTAATGCATTTGGTAATGGGAAATTGAAATTTCGAACGAGGAAAGTAATATCATCTCGTTTACCGGCCACAGTGGAGTGGCCATCAGGAGAAGTGCAACCACTCATGTAGACATCGTGATGAATGCGAACAATTTTATCCACAACTGCTTGTGCTACTCCGGTGAGTGTTGACTGCACACGGAACTGCAAACCACAGAAAGATGCGTATTACAGGCATACAGTGGATATGGTTAACTGGTTTCTAGTGCCTCCATCTAGGAGTCTGTTTGATTTTCTGGCCTCTGTCCATCTAAGGCAAGGTTACACAGGATATACATGTTACATGGAGTCAGATGCAAAAATGGTTGTATATAATGAGTTGTGAAAAAAGTGGAAGGAAGCAGTTATGGCCAGTACTGTCCCAGTGTTTACGTGGATAGAAGAAAGCCACACACACAAAAAAGGGGACAGGAATTTCTGTCCTGGGAATTAAGTCTGGGGAACTCCTGAATATGAAGCAGGAGCAGTAACCCCACAATAATAATTTATGTAATGGTTATATGGTGATGGTACTCATAGGTGGTTAGAGTCATAGAGGAATGTGAACATTTGTAAACACATGCATTGCACAGGTCTGTTGGTTTTATTATGTTAATGTCTGTACTACTTCCATCTGTCACACATTTGTGGATTTCACTGACTGTAATGCACCACTGTTTTAATTTTCATTCATATAGGTCCAATATAAATTTAACTTCAATAAACTTAAAAGAGTGAGCATGTCAATTTTCTGAAAACTCATCAAACATTAAATAAATACAGCAGGACCTCAATACAAAGTAGTGATGGAGGACACATTCAGTACTCACGTTATGAGTGAAATTCACATTCAAATAATTTTGGAATCCCCATTATTATGTATGCAGTATTCATGCATGACTAAAATATGTATGTACTCAGACAAAAAAAAAACACTGTGGTTTTTTTTAGTCTGCAAGTGACCAAGTGACCACCACTTGTCAGCAAAGTTAGTGCCTACTTTAGCAGATAGAGGGTGTTACATGGTCAGTGCAATGAATCCCCACGACTGTTAATTTCAGGTTTCTAGACCGGAGCTACTATTTCCTTGAAATAGCTCCTCAATTATCCTCACGAGGCTGAGTGGACCCCGTTCCAGACCCACTAATTCTCAGAAAATCTGGTAGCACTGCAAATTGAACCCAGACCTCTAGATCTGTATCCAGAAACTCTGACCACTACACCAGAGAGGCGGTCACAAGTAAAACATTTTATAGGAATCTGTACAACATTAAATGTATGAGTGTGCTGGGGAACATGATTAAAGTAGTGGTATAATGAGGTGCAGCATAACAAGGGCCTAATGTATATCATAAACACTGACCACACTGAGCTTTAAAGCTTTTATTTGAAACATGTTTTGATATGGTGAGTATTTAACAAACAGTAAGGAAAAAAATTTCTGACTGTGCCATGTGATATTTGTAGCATGTTTAACTCTGCAATAAGACAGTCATTACATCTGCAGTAACTGAACTAAACAAATCAATCTCTGTGGCTTTAATCCGCAAGTGAACTATAGTGACTGAGTGACTGCCACTTGTTGGCAAAGTTGGCAGTAACTCAATGATACATAATACAACCATTGCAAAGCACGTGTAGGAAAAATATTTACATATTTCTGCTCTTGTTAAGGATCAGTTCCCACCTGTTCCACAGCCATCTGAGCTAAATCTTTGTTTACTTGGTCCGTTCTTGTGGCTTCCTCTAATGACTTGTACAGACCATCAGACATCAATAGCAGAAACCTGCATAAAGATCATAAAGGAGTCAGTATTTCACATTCTACATGCATGAAATAAAGTATGAGATTATGCTACAGACATTAATATGCAGGCATGATGAATAAAAGAAGTAACACATCTGTCTTCTGTTGTTGAGAGAGGGGTGGGAGTTGAGGGGAGAGGGAGGGACAGGGAGAGAGCATGCACACACTAATAGTCTGGTTGGATGGGGGCACGTGTTCTGTCAATCACATGTAACCCACCAATCAATTGCTCCTTAGTATGTACAGCTACAGAGTGACAGGTACAGTCATGTTCAATGCTGAATACCTGCAAGACTCATCCAGTTCAATGCCACCATGAATTTCAGGTTCAGCGATGACTGGTTCTGCTTTAGCAGACATCAACTCATCAAATTCCTTGTAACCACCCTTCACCAAGTAATTTCCTAGGCAACGTGTATTCTCTTGATTGCCAAGGCGAGACACTGTCACAATACAAAATAATATTAGTTTTCGAAGAACTGTGATGTGATAACATACTTCTATATTTTGCACACTGTTAAATTAAATCACACTCTCAAGTTCCTCCCTGGGAATTTTCTACACTTAAAATTAACACTTGCATTTATTTGCAACAATATAACTGGAAAAATTTGTTACATGTGTCACTAATATTATTATAACATTTTTATTTCCAGTTTAGACATCCATTAGATTTCATTTTAACAGCATTCTACCGCCTTCAGCTATTACAATATCAAAGAAAGATTTAAAAAAATACACATTTTTAAATCCAACAAGAAATACGAAGAGCAAAAATAATACTGGGTTACCTTGTCTAAATTTGTCCACATCCAGGCCCAGCTGAGAAAGCCGCAGCAGTTCATCTTCGTTGCTCAAGTCATGATCCACACTGAGTTGAACCACACGAAGCACTCCATTGGAATCAGTACGACATAAGAGGGCTCTACTGTCTCCCACATTGGCTACATACAGGCGTCCACAGTAGATGAGGGCCACTACAACTGTAGTACCCGCAGACAACTCGCAGTTTAGAGCATTCAGCTTGGCCACCTGAAAACACATCAAAGGTCACGAGATGGTGTCCAGAAATATTGAAGAACTCAACAAAGTGGCATGGGTTTAAATTCTCTGCATTTTCATATATATTTCATATCAATAAAAATTATAAACTGGGTAGAGGAATGGAGGAGGACATAAAAGTTTTCAGTATCCCAAGAGAAGCAAGTAAATAATTGAATTTTCAGTATTAGTTACAAGGTGCTCAAAACTATATGTGGGACGGTTTTATTTTTGAATTCAGTAAGATAAACGGAAGAGTGCAAGAGTTTTTTTAATCTTGCAATTCCATAAAATAAACAAGTAAAGCATTTAATTTGTAACATAACATATAACGGACTTAAAAATGTGTTAGAAGAACCTTATCTTCTATGATGCTAGCCACAGTCAACAGTATTTTGTACACACATTTTAAAAACAGAGTTCAAAGTCTGCCACAGTCTGATTAAGAATCGGTGTAATTCAGAGTTTTGTGTTCTTTTGTGTTAAACATATAAGCGAACAGCGGATTAAGAAAAAAAGAGAAGCAATATTATTTATTTTTACCAATAAGTGAAGGAAAATTCTGGCATACATTTATTCAAAATTACTAAACATGCTCAACTGTTCATGAATGTATACCAGTAGAAATATACGCTATCAGAATATTTCAGCTTCTATGTCTAGTTGATTAACATTTTAAAAATCTTGTGCATATGCATGAAAAGAACCATCTTCTGGGATGTGGCGCCATGTAGGATAGTAGAAGCTTCACATGTTTCAGAGGAATATATATTCTGCTTCCATCTTTAGGGTCAAAGACTTAGCCAAACAGCAAGCTGAATGCAGCCCTCAAGAAGTAGACTGCATGTTTCTCTGAAACACTGGGCTGCTTCTGAAATATCTGGCATTAAACCCAGAAGATCTTGCTTATCACAGTTGCCACCATAAGAACCTCAAAGCTCACACCCATACATATAAATGTTGATGCTTATATAATTTTATCATTTCACACATTCAAATGTATTTACGTCACATACGTACGAGATGAGGGAATTTTTGATAAGCCTCATATGAAGTCATGCTGTCTGGTATCTCGTACTGAAGACTTGTGCGCTCAGCAAGTCTGTCATCCACAGAGTCAAAATACCCCTTTTCTACAGCAGTAAAGGCCTGCCTATAAATTCATGGAAAGAAAAAAATATAGCTTGTATTCCCTTTAGACTCAAATTCACAAGATGATGATGGATAAATGTTATCTTCCTTGGGTTACTTCTAATTACAAAGGTTATACAGAAATACTGTGATTAATTAAACTGGAAGTGGTCATAGCCCTCTTCAAGATACTATTCTACCATTTACATGGAGTGGACTGAGGAAAATCACAACAAATCTCAAAATAGCCAATCTCTGTCATGAACAGGGTTCCTAACTACTTGACTCAGATGTTTCCTAACCAAGGAGTAGGCTGTAAGATACACATTAACTGCAAGTACCTGAAAATGAATTGTTAGAAAATTTTTTGATTTTGACATAAATGGGGAATGCAAAATATTATACCATGAGAAATGCCATGATTAAAACAGTTCATGTAGTACCAGCAGAGTCAAATGAAGGATGTTATGATGCACTAGGCATGCACCTGTGATAGGAAAGACAAGACATGCACATACAATATTATGGAAAGTAATGTTTGGTAATCATGGATATGAAAGGATAATATTAAACTGAATCTGTGGGTTGTGAAGATATGAGGTTGATGGAATTAATTCATGAGTATTTCCAATTGTGTAGAACTGTTTGGTTCCCCCTTCGGAAAATTCAACACTCTTGTACTGAGCAACATCCATGTGTGAGTTCCCCTAAATTTTTATATTTTCAGATATGTGATTATCTATAAATACTAGAAGACAAGATCATACCTGAGGACCTCTTTGATCTCTTCATCACTAGTTTTCCCTGTTAACTGGCCAAGCAGAATTTCTGCAGCCATTCGCTGAAGAGCGAATGTCGCCGCTTGCACACCTTCATGTCCATCGAACACTCCATACAAAAATGTATTTTCATCTACACAGCAATGGAAACTCCGGTCTTCAAACTGATGTTCTTCCTGGCGACATCCATCTTCTCGGTAGATCTGGTTAGTTGAAAAACCTACTCCTGCAAATCAGATCAATAATACTTGTGCCTGACCGCAAAACATGGTTGCATAACAATGTAGTGTGCTTTTATGAAGAACTAGAGTATGTCACTAAATTACAGCTGCATAATTACAAGGGTGCCAGAATGTATCCTAAGGCGTGAAACCTAGAACAAACTGTAAAATGCTTTTCGAAAAACCAGTACTTGTCCATTCCAGTTTTCTTTTATTAGGTCTCAGCATATCTTAGCCAAAATGGATATAATCTTAAACCAGAAGATTTTAAACCAGTACACAATATGGAGATGCAGACTAACTTCATGAAGCTGAGCCCTTCTTGAGAAGCCACCATTCAAGAATTTCCCAGCATTTTACGGAAGCTGAAGGATCATTACCATCTTTCGCAAGAGCCCTCTCCTCAGCCACATCAATCCAGTCCATACCATCCCATCCTCTCTCTCTCTCTCTCTCTCTAAGACCCATTTTAATATTATCTGCCCATCTACATCTTGGTCTTCCTAGTAATCTCTTTCTTTCTGGCTTTCCCAACAATATCCTATATGCATTCCTCTTCTCCCCCATTCGTGTCACATGCCCTGCGCATCTCATCCTCTTTGACTTCATCATTCTAATTATATGGTGAAGAGTACAAGTTATGAAGCTCCTCATTATGTAGTTATCTCCAACCTCCTGTCACTTCATCTCTCTTCGATTCTAATACTCTCCTCAGCTCTCAAATACCCTGTCTATGTTCCTCCCTTCATATCTGAGGCCTAGTTTCACACCCATACAGAACCACTGACAAAATTGTAGATATTCATATTCCAATTTTTTTGTTTTTCGACAGTAGACGCAAACAGGAAAATGTATTTTGGTATGTCAAATGTACCCACACAGTGTCCATCATCTGCAACATAGAGTAACATTACCCGAGTGTCTACAGACTGGCAAGTCATCGGTCCAGCAGTATGTCTCTTGGAAATTATTGTTGCTTCTGGGTAGCTCGGCTCGTGTTGGCATTTTATAGCAGTTCACCTCACACAAATTTTGTAAACATTGTCACACTATACTACACTCATACGGTAATGGCTTAAGAATGTGAATTAATAACTTCCTTCTATAGATTGGACTAAAAGGAAACTGAGAACGTTCCACTAAATGCAGTTCACCTGCAATACACACCAGTCTATATGAAAAACAATATGGAGTAAATAATGTCAATACGAAAACAATGCAATTGCAAATACATTATTTTACAACAGACACGCCAGTTATGTTACGCATTATTCATAACGCAGGTCACATAACTCGACATCTCTCGACATTACTTCACTACCGCCTACGACGAAAACCGTCGTTAATAGGAGTAATTGCTAAGAGATGGCATTAGTAGTCTCTCTCTGTCACTCTGTGCGCTCTGTCGGCTGTGAGAAACATTAAAAAAGCGGTACGATGCGGGTAGGATGGGTGGGATTGGTAGGATCGGGAAGTGTCGTGTGTGATGAAACGAAGTTTTAAGGTGAATTTTATGTGAATTGTATCTCAGATAATTTATATTTTCCTGAACACCGAAAATAGGAATCGCAGCACTGACATTCATGCTCAATATATTCACAAGGTAAGTGTAAATAAAAGTATTCCAAATATATTGAATTTACGTATTGGTGGTTGCTCAGAACTAAAGAAACTCTGCCAGAACGGCATGAAGAAAATGTACAGTTTGTGTAGCTCCTAATTATATCGGTTTAAGGACAGTACTGAAGGCTCAGCAAGAAGAAATTAAACTTATTTTTTTTTCATACCTTCTAGCTTCCTGCAGTTTATCATGTTCACGATTTAAAGGGCAAAGTACTCCCTGGGCTACACACAACGCTATGTGAAAGGGCATTTTTTTTAATCCCATACAAAGACTCGTTTCATTAAGTTTATGTTGGGTTCAGTACGTGCAGTTCAGTATATGGGTGTTTGTACTTCAAGCTTGACTTTTACAACTATGAGGGGAGGTTCCTCTTGTATCATTGTCATTGAAAATTCCATGAAGTGTATGTTTATGTTATTATGTTATGAAATACAGTCCTTGTAAAAATTTTAGTTTGTTAAATTAGTGTTAAAATAGATGAACTCTGATGTTTCTGTTGTATGTGTCGCTTACGTCTGCTACTAATTCCTTTTATTTTCCTAAATGACCAAGGTTTAGTGCCTTACTGTAAATTAAATGAAGTTAAGTAGTGATTTTAGGCTTATGTTTTCCAAAACCTACATTTAAGGAACAAGAAGCTAGTCACCAAGACATGCAGTAAATAGGGGTTTCAGTGTAATTAGGTGTGCTTAGAAAACCACATACTTGTATGGTATTTGTCCATCTACCTGCAAGTGTACTGCTACTGTGTGTTTTGTAGCCCCCAATTTAATTTTATAAAGTTATACCACTGTACAGTGAAAAATAATTACTGGAAGGTAAAGTTGTCCCTGTGCTTAACTAATTAAGCACTATGCCAATAAGACGTAAGGGGGAATGGATGTATAGACCCATGTTTTCTTTATCTTGGCAGTAGTTGGAGGTGTGTTTTCAGCTTCATATCCCAGCTGCTTTAACCCTGGGGAAAGAGTCCCTGGTAACCTTTGGATAGGAGGCTGGGTGGGCCCCAGAACTGGTCTGGATGACATGGAGAAGTGAAAATTCTTGGCCCTATTATGACTTGAACTCTGACCCCTTGGTCGTCCAGCTCATAGCCAGTCACTATACCGTCTGTGCTATCCTAGGTCTTTATAAAATAATTACTGCTAACATTAAATACTTAATTTTAAATTTGCAATAAGTAAAAATAATTATCTCATCTGACTAACTTCACAGAGCAAATATTGCAAACATCCAGGCCAAACTTGATACATAGCCCTTTTTTTTTTTTTGTATTAGATGATTATCTGTATCCGAAACAGATGACAATTAAACTTTTCTTTCTTTCTTTCTTTCTTTCTTACGCCTCAGGTTTTCTAACTAAAGTTTTGTATGGCATTCTTTATCTTCTCTGCATGCTTTATGCCTTGCCAATTTCAACTTCTTGTTTTGAACGTCCTAATAATATTTCTTTAGGATTATAAATTTTGATACTACTTACAGTTCTTCTAACCACCTTTTACTGCCCGTGTCTTGGATTCAGATATTGTCCCCATTCATTCATTTATTGTATATTCCATAAATCCATATACATAGATATAGAACCAGTCACATAGCTAATATAGTACAATACAGATATAAATATATATGTACAGTTTATAATAAAAAACAGTCTTATATCACTATACGTAAAATTATGCGGTATTAAAATTGTTTTTGTTATTATCCTTATTTATAGGCAAATTTGTTACTAAAGAATTCATCACATGTATAAAAAGAGTTTTGCAATAAAAATGTTGTCAATGGAATTTAAAAATTTTTCAAGTCAATAGACATAGATTTGATTTTTGGTGGCAAACGATTAAAAATCTTTACCCCCATGTAACATATTCCTTTTTGGAATTGTGTTAAACTAGACCTGTATTCTTCCTGTAGGTTAAGAGACAAAGGTTCACAGCCATGCAAAACATGTAAGACAGAAAGGTACAGTGCAAAAAGCATGTGATTACACTTTAAGAAACTTTTGGAAAACATTTTTTTCTTATAAGTAATTTCAAGAACGCCGGTCACGGTAGCCGAGTGGTCTAAGGCATGCACTGTCTTCGCTCGCTCGGAAGCCGAGATCGTGTGTTCGAATCCCATTCAGGGCATGGATGTTTGTGTGCGTTTTTCTGTGTTTGTCTACAGGTAGAGGCCTTGCGACGAGCTGATCACTCGCCCAAGGAGTCCTACTGTATGTGTAAGATCTAGAAAAGCCGAAGTGAACGTAGTTCATGGAGGTAGGCCTAGGCCCACTGGGGCTGTAGTGCCAAAAAAAAAAAATTTTCAAGAACATGAATGTTAGCATGTCATTTATAATTAGATGCAGTGCTCCTGTTAACTGTTCACGAATGGACTAAGTACGTAGATGTGGTATACCACTTTTTAAGACCATTCTCTTAGTTATAATTTGATGTTTAAGTGAAAGGGGACTTCATTCATTCATTCATTCATTATTGTAGGGGGTGGGTTTCCCCATGCACCGCGATCGGTTGTTGATCTATTGTACGTCCCCCTTTAATATTCTACCAGTCGCCATACCCTTTCGGTACTGGTGCTCGCTATCAGCCCCGTTCAGCCAGCGAGTTCGGCCCCTCTACTGGCAGTGGTACCCGATACTTCCCCATCTACCGGAGGCATTGGAAATTACTTGGGCGGGAAACTCTTTACCTAATTTTGCACAGAGATCTCCTAGAGACATGGATCTTTTACGTGTCGTAAATCTACGACACGGGACCCACATCTTAAGAAAGGGGACTTTATCCCATGATACTGTTGAATCAGATGTCGTTACTCATGGCTCATTTGAAAATGGACCTCAAGTTCACATTTTGTTGATGATGTAGACATGTGCATTGTTTAGGGAATTATCAATAAAATCATCCGATTTTCCGTATAATTTTTGTTGCTGATATAAGAATGTAAATTATGTGAATTGTAACCCCTCCCCATACCTGCCAGTTCATTTAATGGCTCCATGTAATAACTGTTTTTTTTTCTTTTTTTACTTCACTGAGTATTTGTACTATACATTGCGTATGTTGGATTGCGTCAGTAAAAAGGCGCCCGCTTTTGTAACAACCTGTGTATCCCTGTGGATGATCGATCTTGTGACTTGTTAGATGTAGGTAATGACGTCACGACCGTCGTACAATATGAATAATCGATAAAATGAATTTTACGTCAATAGTGATCTGATCGTTAGTGATGCATGGCTGCTTCATTAATGGCTGATTGAGTAGGTAGAAGTGAATGCACGAGATAATGGAAAAAAAAAAGTAGGAAGAGGTAAGAAATTTGTATTGTTTTAGTAATTATTCTCTGTTGCTTTAAGACGATGTATTAATTGTAATTATAGACCGAGCAAAGGATGTTAATATCACGAATTTGGAGCCCATCCGTGTAGGTTTGCCGATGTTCGTACTGCGCAATTCGTATTTCTTAAGAATATAATTTTTTCGAGTAATTTCTAATTAAGAAGCTGTAAGATTTTTTAATCCAATTGTATCGTAGGATGCTGTATAAATGGCAGGAATTAGTGGATACTTTAATACTTTCTGCCCCAGTATTACATTTGGAAATATTTCCCGACAAGGAATGGAAGTGCAGAGAACAAGAAATTCAAAATGGTGCGTATCCATTGATGCTTCATCGGTTTCTTATCATAAGTCGAAATCGTTTAGTGAACCGTGGCTTCTATAAACCGTCCCCGTATAGTGATATGTTTATTGACTTGTTCTGCATCTGTAGGCCTTTGGCCGGGTATGGATTTATGGAACGAATAAATATGAATGAATGGTGCAATATTCAACCCGACATAATAAATGCAGAAATTAATCACAATTACGGTATTTTTCTCCGGTTCAAGAGTTTGCATTATGGATATTTTACAGTTCTGTATATAATAACTACGGACAATTTTGAGCTGTTTGAAACTGCCCAAAGCCAATATACAGGATGATTCTAAATTATTGTCGTGGTTTCCGTGGCCCATAAACGGAAACCCCGACAATAATTTAGAATCATCATATCTTGTATTACCCGCATATTCATGGTTACCATTTGAAAGTGCCTGTGTTATATGCTTCAAGTTTCATGTTTTATTTGCCTGAAATAAAATTGAACTGCTGTTTGAAAATTTTAAAATGTAAATATTATAAACCTGTAGGTGACACTGACAATATTAGCTACTAGTGCACAGTTTTATGGTGGGTACTGGAATATGTGCAGTTTTACCACCACTTCCCAAGTATGCCTTTGTGGCATGCTTTATAGGTCCAGGTGAACTTCATTGGAACTTGTCATGAAATGAATATCTTATCATGCTGTTACTGTCTATTCAAGCGGCCTCCGTAGTCTAGAGGTAACGTTCCCACCTCATGACTCATAGTACGCAGGTTCAAATACCCGGCGGAGGTCGTCGAATTTTTAAGGACGGAAAAATTCAGGGAACAAGTCCTCTGGGAGGGACTTTAAGCCGTGGGTCCCGTGTTGTAGCTTTACAGCAACGTAAAAGAACCTCATATCTCCAAAGGAGGTCACTGAGCCAAAATAACGGACGTTTCCCGCCCAACAGCAGTCTCTAATACCTCTGGTAGATGGGGGAAGCATTATAGATACCTCTCAGCTAGTAGAGCCGGTCTCGCTGGCTGGGCGGGACTGATTGTAAGCA